GTGAGCTGGGTGCAGGCTGGGGTGTGAGCGTGGTGAACTAGGGGTGCAGGCTGGGATGTGAGCATGGTGAACTAGGGGTGTAGGCTGGGGCGTGGGCATGGTGAGCTGGGTGCAGGGCAGGGTCCTCTGGCCTCTGAGCCTCTTGTCAATGCCACTTTCGTCTGCAGCCTGCCCCGCTGGCTTCTTCGGGATAGACTGCGCCCACGCCTGTAACTGCTCTGCTGGGGCCACCTGCGATGCTGTGACCGGCTCCTGCATCTGCCCAGCTGGCCGCTGGGGCTCACGCTGCGCCCAGAGTATGTAAGGGGCCTCAGCGTGGGTTCTGTGGGAGCACAGGTTCTTCATGACGGGGTGGGGGCAGGGGACACCCCTGAGTCCCCTTCCTGGCATCCACCTGAGGACACAGCTTCTTCACCCATGAGATTCTAAATGACCACCCCTTTGGTGGCTGCTCTGCTGAGAGGTGGCCCTGAGACTCTAGCATGTTGTTTCCACTCCCTGACACCTTCTCCTGGAGTCCCCTGGCTATGCCCCTGATGGCTCCTCTCTGTTTACAGCTTGCCCATCCCTCACTTATGGGCTTAACTGCAGCCAGATTTGTACCTGTTTCAACGGGGCCTCCTGTGACCCTGTCCATGGGCAATGCCACTGTGCCCCTGGCTGGATGGGACCCACCTGCCTGCAGGGTAAGCCCTGCCTAGGAGTTCAGGGTCCATTCCTGGGTAATGGTCTCCCAGTGGGGCCATGGAGGGACATGTGTGCATGGGATGCCAGGGCAGGTGCAGGGCTTACCTGTCAGCATGACCTTTGGGGGAGGGGGGGAGTTGGGAGGGATCTTGACTCTGGACAGACACTGAGGCTTGCTTCTGCTTTCTGGGCCTTAGCCTGCCCTGCTGGCCTATACGGCAAGGACTGTCAGCATTCCTGTCTTTGCCGCAACGGAGGGAGCTGTGACCCCATCTCGGGCCAGTGCACGTGCCCAGAGGGCTGGACCGGCTTGGCCTGTGAGAAAGGTGAACTGGCTGGCCTGGGTAGTAGACATGTCCTAAGGCCTAAGAGGACTCCCTTTTGAGGGTCAGCACCCTGAGGGTGGCTGTGGTGTCTAGCCTTCCACCCAAGGACACAGGTGTAGGGATGTTGGGCTAGTATCTCCCGAACAGAACCATAGCCCAGAAAGTCAGACCCTCCCTGCCTGTTCTTTTTCAGAGTGCCTTCCTGGACACTATGGAGCTGGCTGTCAGCTCAGCTGCAGTTGCCTTAACGGAGGCATATGTGACCGGCTCACAGGCCGCTGTCTCTGCCCAGCGGGCTGGACTGGGGACAAGTGTCAGAGCCGTGAGTGGGGTCTGGGAAGCTGGGACGTTCTGCCAAGGGTGACACAATTTTACTCCATGCTGAAGATATGGGCCAGGCCTGGTTCTCACCAATGTGGCCCACTGTTGAATGGGTTCAGGGCCTCCTGGCTGTACCTAAGAGGCCAATCTGATTGGCTGGTTTGTTTTTATTTTGGAGAGAGGGGTGTACCTCATCTCAAGGCTTCAGAGAGAAAGACTTGGTCTCTGGACTTGAAGCCTATACTGCCCAGGGCTCCATGATTACAAGATGCTGCCCAGGCTGTAGCTTTTGTGACCATGGTCCTTATTCACCCCTCCATGCTTTGAACCCCTCAGAGTCTGGACAAGTGGATACTGGGCTGGCTCGCCCTCATTCTAACCTGCAAAGTCTTCCACTCATTGGCCCCCTTTCTATGCAGGCCAACCTAGACAACCCCTTGCTCAGACCTAAACGTGGGGCTGCTGAAGCTTACAGGCCAAGTCAGAATTCTCAGGGATTGCCAATGACTCTTCATGGCTTCTAGACCCAGCCTCCCCTTTCCCCTCGACTTCCATGGGCAGAGACCCCAGGGCTGTAATTCCCAGCCTTCCTGTCTGTCTCTTATGCCACAGCCTGTGCCAAGGGCATGTTTGGAGTTCACTGTGAAGAGCATTGTGCCTGCCGGAGAGGTGCCACCTGCCACCATGTCACCGGGGCCTGCCTCTGTCCCCCAGGATGGAGGGGCACACAGTGCGAGGATGGTGAGCCTAGGCAGTAGAGCACAAATCCATGGCTGGGAGGGAGCTGGTCCTGCACACCTCGCCTAGACAGGAGTGCACGGATCCATAGCTGGGAGGGAGCTGGCCCTGCACACCTCACCTAGACAGTAGGGCACAGAGCAGACGGCTGGGAGGGAGCTGGCCATGCACACCTCGCCTAGACAGTAGAGCACGGATCCATGGCTGGGAGGGAGCTGGCCCTGCACAGCCGTTTCGGGGCTCCCAGCCATCCACCTCCAGGAAAGCCTGCCTAATTCTCCCTTTCCTGCAGCCTGCCCACGTGGCTGGTTTGGAGAGGCCTGTGCCCAGCGTTGCCGCTGCCCACCTGGTGCCCCCTGCCACCATGTTACTGGGGAGTGCCATTGTCCCCCTGGCTTCACTGGACCTGGCTGTGAGCAGGGTAAGTGCTCCCCCCAACATCTACTCTGTAGAGTGGGACAGCTCGGGGATTCCCGAGGGCTAGACCAGGTCTGACCCTACCCAACTTATACCCAGCCTGCCAGCCTGGCACCTTTGGAAAGGACTGTGGGCACCTATGCCAATGTCCTGGTGAGACCTGGACCTGCCACCCTGCTTCAGGGGCCTGCCTATGTGCTGCTGGTTACCATGGCACTGATTGTCAGCAACGTGAGTGCTGCCCATTGCCTCAGGGAAGCTGGGGTTCTGTCTGCTCTTCTGGTATGCAGGGTGGAGGGGATGTAGCTCGCTGGGCGGCCATGCCATGTTCAGGGCTACAGCTTGCAGAGCGGCCATGCCATGTTCAGGACAGCTGAAGCTTGCAGGGCAGCCATGCCGTGTTCAAGGCTGCAGCTCGCATGTTTGACTCCAGCCCCCGGCTTATGTAGCAGACCCTCTGTCTCCCTGCAGGATGCCCACCTGGGCGCTATGGGCCAGGCTGTGAACAAGTTTGTAAGTGTCTCAATGGTGGCTCTTGCGACACGGCCACGGGAGCCTGCTACTGCCCTCCTGGATTCCTGGGGTCTGACTGCAGTCTCGGTGAGTGGCCAGGTTGCAGGGCTGGATGGCTTAGTGTTGAAATTCTGGAAGAGGGGGTAGGGCCCTGCTGGCCAGCCTATAGGAGGACATCCAGCCCCCTGCCCACCCCTGATTCTTGGGCCCCCCATTACTGAACTAAGGTAGAGTGTCAATAGGGTGTTCTGCCCTGGGGCATCAGTGTGATCCCAGAGGGCCCCCGTCTTCTGGCCAACTCTGTCCCAGATATATACTGGGCACTGAGTACATTTCTGCAGCCAGCCATCCCGCCCAGGAAAGGGACTTTTTCCTTAGTCACACGGGGATTTTCCTCCCTTGAAATCCAGGCGGGGCTGGGGGTGTTGTGTCGGTGTGTCTCTGTGGAGATGGCCTGGGACCCAGCTCCCAGCAGAACCTTGTCATGGAGCCTCTGACAGAGCCCAGGTGGAAGCAACCGCTTACCTGCTCTCTCCACAGCCTGTCCCCAGGGTCGCTTCGGCCCCGGCTGTACCCATGTGTGTGCATGTGGGCAAGGGGCGGCCTGTGATCCTGTGTCAGGGACTTGTGTCTGTTCTCCTGGGAAGACTGGAGTCCACTGTGAACATGGTGAGTGTCTGCCGGGGACTGGGCACATGCACAGTTCGCTGACATGTCACCGAGTCACGGAGCAGGCTGCTGAAGTAAGCCCATCACGAGGTGTGTGTGTGTGTGTGTGTGTGTGTGTGTGTGTGTGTGTGTGTGTGCCCATTCCCCAGGGACACAGTCACACGCACAGCCACTGTGGATTCTCCAGAAGCCTTGGCTGAGAAGCTGTGTCCTCACCATATGGACAGCTTGCCCTGATGGCAAACAGGTCATCTCATGCCAGCTCAGGCCCCACCCACACAGGACTCTTGAGACTCGGTTCACTTAGTGGCCTGTTCATGTCTCCGTGACGGGTGGAACCTCTTCCTGAACCTGGTAGCTCTTTGTGTCCTGAAGACCCCGGTCCCCTTTATCTTAGAGTGGCCCTCAGTCCTGGTGCTGTGGACACCATGAGGGCAAGGCCAGCCCTAGGCAGCTCAGGAAGCATTTGTTGAGTGAATGCCAGTCTGTGGGGAGGGGCGCATGTCCCCCAGAACGTGTCTACCCCTTGCTAGAGCTCTCAGCTGTGCCTTCTGCCCCTAGGGTGTCCCCAGAATCGGTTTGGCAAGGGCTGTGAGTTCCAGTGTGCCTGCAGGAATGGCGGCCTGTGTCATGCTACTAATGGCAGCTGTTCCTGCCCGCTGGGCTGGATGGGGCCACACTGCGAGCAGGGTGAGTTTCTGAGAGCAGCTGGGCCGAAACGTCCACACGTGTCTATCGAGTAGGGAGGGCCTTGCTCTGGACCCTGAGAAGGATGCAGAGGTCAGGTCCGGGGCGGCTGTGTAGGGGCACAGACTCAGGTGCACTTAAGAAACCTGTATCCTATCCCTGCACAGCCTGCCCTGCTGGGCACTATGGTGCCGCCTGCCTCCTCAAGTGCTCCTGTCAGAACAACGGCACGTGTGAGCCCACCATGGGGACCTGCCACTGTGGTCCTGGCTTCTATGGTCGAGCTTGTGAGCACTGTGAGTGGGGCTGTCCCCTTACCTTGGACACGCCATCCAGGCTGGTCCTGGTTCTGAGAGCAATGGCCGCTTTCTCAGTCAATGTCCATGGGGAGAGATGGGCTGAGCCAGATCAGGCTCTGGGCTGGAGGTGCCTGCTCAGGGTCACACAGGACAGGTGGAAGATGGGCTCCTAGGCCAGCTCCTTATGCCTCTCATGTGAGCCCTGGCTGGGATGCTGGCTTATGGTGGTAGCTAGGAAGGAGGGAGATTAGGACATTCAGGGAAGGGCCTCTCTCAGTTCTTGGGTTCGATCCTTTGCTCATTCTGGGAAATCTGGGGGTTTCTGCTGCCTCCTGCCCTCAACCCACCCTAACCAGGGTCCTCCTTCAGCCTGCCCTCCTGGCTTCCACGGATCTGGTTGCCAGGGAGTCTGTGAGTGTCAACAGGGAGCCTCCTGCGACCCTGTCAGCGGCCAATGCCTCTGCCCCACTGGCTTTCACGGCCAGTTCTGCGAGAAGGGTGAGCATCAGCCCCCACCTAGCCCCTTTACCCTTTCCTCCTCTCGGTTGGTTTGGGGACGGGACCACAGAGCCTGTTGCCCCCACCAGGGTGCCAGCCAGGCTTTTTTGGAGATGGTTGCCAGCAGCAGTGTGACTGCCACAAAGGGGTGCCCTGTGATCCCGTCAGCGGCCTCTGCCTTTGCCCGCCAGGGCGTACAGGAGCCACATGTGACCTGGGTGAGTGGGGGGTCCTGCTCAGGGTGGGACCTGAGGGTAGGTCTCCACCAATAGCACATATCAAATCATGTGGGCTGCATACCTGCATGCCAGGCCTCAGCCTGGTCACTGTGCCTTCCTGTGGTCTCTGCTCCAGCCTGAGCCCTCTGGGGGCCATTGACAGTGGCCAGAATATGATAAACCAAGCACAGACACCCACTGTGGCTGCCAAGGGTAGGCCCTGCTCTGTGGTAGTCTAGAGTCCCTGGCTCTATCTGGCTGTCAGAGAAAGGCTTCAATCAGGTGGAAATATGTCCACGGCCCCTTCAGACCAGACTGCCTAAGGATGGGGGGGGGGCTGTCCCACTGGGAGAAAAAACTGAGTTTATGACTTTTGGATTCATGTAACCTTGGGGAAGCAGCTGTGGCTGCTCTATACCGCCTCACTAACCCTGACACCAGGCAGGAATATGTGCCCAGGGCTTGTGGCTGGTGTTTTTCCATGTAGGAGCCCACGGTTACAGCATAGACTTTTTAAAAAGTGCATAGGAACTGTTATCCTTTTCAGAGGAAACTGAGGACCATGGTTTTGTCTCCTCCTTCCTCAGTGGACCTCATGCCCCCCTGGGCTGTCTACCCATGGTCCAGGCAGATAGAATGGCGATTTATGCGTTTCTCTCCTACCTCCTGCCCCTACAGATTGCAGAAGGGGCCGCTTTGGGCCGGGCTGTGCCCTGCGCTGTGACTGTTGGGGTGGGGCTGACTGCGACCCCATCAGTGGGCAGTGCCATTGTGTGGACGGCTACACAGGGCCCACTTGCCGGGAAGGTGAGTCAGGTTCTCAGGGGAGGAACCGAAGACTTCCCTGCCCCTGGCCAGGAGCCCACCCCTTGTCCTAATACCACCACCAAGTGAGAAACTCAGCCATCCCTTCCTGGCACCCACAGAGTGCACACAGCTAGTGGTGGGTGAGTAGGCCTCAAGCCAGTTCCCGTGGGCAAGAATGGGACGCACTGCCAGCCTGGAGCACCAGCCTTTACCCTCGAGTGACCTGCAGGTTCCGTGGGATCTCACAGATCCCTATGCAGGCGGGGCTGGATGATTCAGGACATGTGGGTGCTGTGTGCCCACATATCTGTGAGCAGCATTGTATGCATGCTAATCAGTACATGCATGTACACCAGCGTGTTGCGAGATAGTGCATGTGTCCATGTGCCAGTACACCAGAGCAGCGACACAAGCGTGTGAGGCAGGCTTGCTGTGTACACCTGTGTATTTGAATGTACTGTGTACATGCTTCAGGCGTATGTCCTCTTGGTGCGTGTCTTCCTAGTGTGTATGCCCCAGGTGTGTGTGCACTCCAGATATGTCTTCCTGATACATGAGTGTTCCAGGTATGCATCTTCATGGTGTATGTGCTCAAGGTACATGTTCTGTAAGGGTATGCATGGGCTTTAGGTATGTATTTTCAGGGTGCGTATGTGTTCCATGTATACACTCTGCAGGTATAAGTTTGAGCTAGGTATGTGTTTCCCGGGTGTGTGTGTTCCGTGTGTACATGGCTTCAGGTGTACATGTGTGCCCACATCTTTGTGCACCACGTACCTATGCTTGCTCCTGTGATGTCCATGCACCAGGCATGCATGCATACATACTCTGTGGAATTCAAGTGCGTATGTTATGGTGCATACCTGTGCCAGGCATGTATGTTCCAGTACACGTGTGTGCACCAGACATGCATGTGTTCACATGCTTTATTATATACTATGCCTGTGTGTACCCACGGCACCTCCCATCCACGAGGTAGAGCTGGTTATGCTGCACCCCGTGAATGGCCACAGTCCGCATGACATCTCTTGTTGGCTCCCCAGGCCCAGTCTGTGGAGCGTGCTGGGACGGATCTCTGTAGAGGGTAGGACATGAAAGAGAGGAGGGCCTAGACCTAGGAGTCCTCAGCCTGAAGACATTCAGTGCAGATGGGATACCGCCTGCATCATTTTTAGCCTCTCCAAGGTGGTCTGGCCTCAAACTACTAAGAGCCATGCTGGGAGCTCGTGGGTAGGTGGGTAGGTTCAGGTTCAGGGTTAGGTTGCAATTTGCTGACCAGTGCCTGTGTACATAATGCTATCCACAGTGGCACCCAGTGGTCAAATCTGGTACTACACCCAGGGCCTTGACTTGGCATTTAGCAGATCTCTGAGGATGGGGCTGTGGGGGAGAGAGAGCATTGGTGGCCCCTGGGAGTCCTGGGATAGTCCTTTTCCCTGGGGTGAGCTTGGCTAAACCTTGGGTGAAGCTTTTCCCACCCAGCTTCAAAGCCCTGTCTCCCACCCTTCTTGGAATTGACAGAGTGGGAGCTGAGCAGACCCCTCCCCCACTGCTCTTGTGAGCATGGAATGGAGAAGGTTATGATGGTGGCTGTGTGGGGTCCCTGTGGGCGTGGGCGATTGATGCCTTACTGGCCCATTACTGGTGTCTACCCACGTGGACAACATGAGCTGTCTATGGCCCACCTCCCTGGGAGCCCAGAGTTCATGTGGAGATCACGCTTGCCCAGACACGCACGGCTCTCTGGTTAGGCCCAAGGGAGTAGCCCACACAGTGATGAACATCACTTCCCTTCCCTGTGCCTTGAGAACCTGAACCTTGGAGATGGGACCGGACCACAGTGTGAGAGGAATGGGCTATTGCCTTTACCGGACTTGGCCAATGAGGGAAGAAGGTCACCACCTTCATCCTGGAATTGGCCATCTTGAGGATTCCCACCGCACTTTGTGGCTGACCCTCCTTTCTTCCTGTGTCTCCAGTGGCCACACAGCCATCCTCCGGCAGACCAGCACCCCAGCAACCCAGCAGCAGGGCCATGAAGCATTAGCTCATGGAAGTCCCACAGAGGACCGCTACCGTGTTCCAGCCCAATGGACCGAGAGGACATGTGTGGACTCCTGGATCCACACCTCCTCCGGGAAGCGATGGATCTCTGTGGAGGGCTGTGGATGGTCGCACAGCTACCTACCAAGGCCTCGTGGCCATGGGGAAGAAGTCTCCAGTGAACACAAGGAGCCCAGGGAAGAGGACCAGGCCTCAGGCCGCCATGTACACGGGCACCCTCTGGGCTGTGCTGTGGAATCCTGGCTCTCTTTTGGGACCTGGGTTGGGACCAAGGCTCCACCTGCCTGACAGGTCCTTCTGGTGCTAAGGCCGCGGACTGCTGCAGCCAGCCAACTGTTTACCTGGAAACGCCGTCCGGCCCGTATTTATGTAAAGGTATTTATGGGCAATTCCACTTGCCATTGCGGCCCTGGGTCAGCTGGAAGCCCCCATCCCGGAAGCTTGGACTCAGGCCGCTGGGCCGTGGGATCTCCAGTTTTGTAAAGTCCCGAGAGTTAAAGGCACACTGGTGTCCTCGTGGCCTGGGTTTGTGTGCTTTTCATAGACTCGGTGTGGGTCCTCCCAAGAGCAGCTGGCTGGAGGGCTTTCGCATGGGAGCCGGCCCAGCCAGGGAGGCCCTCTCTAGTGACAGGGGCCACACTGGTCATAGTGGGGTTCTTCTGGCTTCTGACTCCTGGTCAAGGAGAACACACTGGTGCCTAAGACACCTCCAGAGAGCTGGAAAGTGACTTCCTGTAGGAAGGACGTCTCAGAGGGAGCAGGGGAGAGCCCACCCAGCAGGGTGAGGGACAGAGAGCATCACAGGAGCCAGGGCTCCCTGTGGATTGAGGCTGAGGCCACAGGTGTAGCCCAGAACTGAGCTGCGGTGTGGGGGTGGGAAATGTCCTGAGGACAGCAAAAATTGAGGGAGAGCTGGACTTGGATCCGAGACTCTGCCCCCACCTCCCGCCTGGAGTAGTCTCTTGTTTGGATCTGGGTAGTGGCTGCCTCCTTCCTCTCTCCCACAGAAATGGAGGCAGCCGAAACCTCAGGGACACTCTGTGGGCTCCAGTGGGATGGGCAGCAGGGGGAGCCATGCCCGTCGGCCGCTGCACACAGACTTAGAGGAAGAAGGGACAGGATACAGATCCCGGGAAGCTGGAGTTATAGGACATGAGTCACTTGATGTGGGTGCTAAGAATTGCATGCAGGTTCTAAAAGCAAGATAGCTCTTAACCACTGAACCATCTCTTCAGCCCCTGGGGAAGGAGTCTTACTGTTGTGAGGGTGCAAAGCATTGTGGCTGTCTATGCACATGCATGCACACATACGTACATACATACACAGCAAATGGTCAAAAATCCACAGAGCAATGGTGGCTGTCACAGGTAGAGAGAAATGCATTGCAACAGAGTGTAACACACTCTGTAGAAACCTGTAGGTTAGGCAGACTGAACAGCGATGATCAATCTGCAAAGCTTTAACATGTTATATATGTACCTCTGATGTTTATGTTTTACAGATACACATCTGTATTTCTAGGCAATCTTTGTAGTCATCAGACAGGGCTGTGGGTGTGGATGGTACTGGGACCAACTCAAGCCCTTCATACACCAGGCAGATGCTCTACAATCTAGTGACATGTAAGAAAACCAAAATACTTTCCTTTGAAGATTAATATGCTCATCAGACCATAGGTTGGTTGGTTGATTGAGACAGGCTTTAGCATGTAGCCCTGGCTAGTCTGGAGTTTTGTTATGTAGACCAGGTTGACTTGGACTTGGAGGCCCTCCTGTCTCTGCTTCCCAGGTGCTGGGATTACAGGCATGTACCACCATGCCTGACTAGACTGATGTTTTCAAATATGATGTGAGAAAAATAAGGGAGAGGCAGCTATAGACAGCATGGAGATTTTACAGAGAATGTGACAGGCAACTGTGAGCTAGCACCTTTACAACGGGAATGCGGATACATTTTGGGGGAAAGAAAAATGTCAGGATTGGCATAAGTAGAGATTAAAGGAACTTGGGGCTGGCAAGATTGCTCAGTGGGTGCCCGACTCTCAGCCTGAAGAGTTGAGTTGGAGCCTGGGACCCATATGGTAGAATGTAGGGCACAGAACAGATGGCTCAGCCATTAACAGCATTGCTGCCCCTGCAGAGGTTCTGTCAGTTCCCAGCGCCTTATGCAGTGGGTCACAGTCCTCTACAGCTCCAGCTCCAGCGATGATCACACCCTCTTTTGGCTTCACCACATGGGGCTCCAGGCATGAAAGCAAAACGCTCATTCACATCAAATAAAAATACTTTCTTAAAAAGTAGAATTCAGAAAAAAGGAAATAGGAGACAGTGGGCCCGTTGTGATGTGATGGAAGGGACAACCTCTGAACTGAGTCAGATTTGCCGTAGCCTGTTCAGTCAGAGGTCCAGGGACGGGTGACGGCTGGTGTCATTCAACAAGCAGGGATGAGGACAAGGAATCGATGGTCCAGACACACTGACTGCTAAGGACATGGGAGGGCCGTTCTCACCAGAATGGCAGTCCTAACCGTGGCTTCGCTTTCTTGGGGGCAAAGCTAGAGTCTTAGGAGAAGCTGGAGAGCTGGGGTCCCTCCCAAGTGTAGCCCCCATGTTAGTGCCTCTTACGGCCACCAGGGGGCCTGAGAGGAAAACCACCACCACCACCGGCTCCTGGCAGAGTCAGGGATGTTCTGGAAGGACTGGAAGTGAGTCTGGTGAGCAGAGGGAAACAGCAATTCCAAGGCCGGGCGAAGGTGAAGTTGCATGCACATCGGTATGGTATCGAAGCTGGACTCATTTTTCTCACGCTCCCTGGAGGAGAGGCTAGAGGCCTGGACTTTCTCTGGAACTGGTCCACGGCACTTGAACCATCACTATGCCTCAGATACCTCTGACTCAAGCCAAAGTGTGCACACCCGCCAGGCCTAGCCCTGTCTACTCTGCTCATATCAGGGAAGGCACAGAGGTTGGCTGAGAAGAAGGGCCAGGGCTCCCAATGCCCCACAGATCAACAGCCGCTGAAGCATTGAACCACGGCTGGCAACACTGCTGCAGGTGGGTCAGGGCACCAGGCACCTGAGGATCTGGTCCCACTTAGCCCCAACCAGACCACAGACCTCCCTGGAGGTGGGTAGGGTATTAGAAGCCTTGATGTCCTCCGGCAAGCCCATGACCCCAACAGTGGGCAGAGACCCCCAACAGTTGCCCCATCTGCGACAGGAAGGTCTCTCTCTGCAGGAGGAACGGACTGAGGCTCCCCAGCTGAGTGGGTGGGCAGGGCATCCCGCATGATCCCCATTATTGGAGGGGGGCACAGAAATGTGCCAACAAAGGATGGACTTTCTGCAGTTGGGGAGCAGGGCTGGCTCTGTCCTTGGGACCCCCAACCCTCACAACCCTAGGCTTCTATCAGTGGGGGAGGTTTCCTGACCTGGTCCTGTACCAAATGACCTCTGTCAGTGCATGATGTCCATCCTCCCCCAGGCACTGCAGTATCCATGTCCCTTGGCTTCCATCACTTGCAAACTGAGTCAGGACTGTGGGGTCACCTGTGCCAGATGTCCAGAGTCAGAGTGTCACAGCCTTCCGGTTCCACCTCGTTCTAGCTACTGAGTGTGCTTGGTGGTGAACCGGCCTGCTTCTCCTTGACACGCTCCTCAGAGGATCAGAAGTGGGAATAAGCCCGAGGCATGGGGCAGCGGGTCTACATCAAGGCATTCCTGCCACAGGCACACATCAGTGCACACACAGCAACTGCACGTATTCACCACTCCATGGCCACCAGTTGGCTGCCTCTTCACAACCCCCACTCCCCAGCAGCTCCGGGAAAGCAGAGCATTAGGGTGAGGAAGATGGAGACGTTTATCTCTTTCAGGCAGAAGGAGGTACGAGGCCCTACCTCAGACAATCCACCCAGGCCATGCCTACTCCCTGAACTCTGACCTGGCCCTCTGTCCAAAGCAGCCACTTACAAACGTGGGTGAGTGTTCACCCTGGTGAGGACTGGTGTTGGGCTGAGCCCAGACTTGGTCCTGACATGGAAGTCATAGGGCGTAGCCGGCCCTAGCCTGTCTAGACAGGCCTAGGAAGGGAGGGCATCACTATTTGTGCCTTTGACCTTAGTGGAGATTCACCTGTTGCGCCTCTGTCGCAAGGCTGAGCACAGTGGAACGGGGCACATTGCTACAGCGCATGCTGGGCATTCTACCCCCAATCTAGCACCAGCCGAGCCAAGAAAAGCATGAGGCTTCAGGACCAGGCTGAGGGGGCTGTTGGAGAGACCTAGCCTGGCCCTAGTCAGCACGGAGGCTGCCTTTTGGGCCTATAGGTCCCCAAGAGGGAGATCTCTGCAGGGACTGGGATCACCATACCAGAGTGTCCCTACTGTGTCTGAGGGTAAGCCCTGCAAGGTTCAGCTATCACCATCCGTGAACGCACAAGCAGGAGCCACAGACTTGTGACACTCTGGTAGACAGATGGGTCAGAGCTAAGGAGAGACCTGAGGCCCGTCTCCACTGCAACAAGGGGCTGTGACCTAGGCTCAGCTGTAAAGCCAAGTTTTAAAGAAATACTTTAATGCTGTTTAAAACCTCCATCACAATATATAACATCCCTGCTGGTCCTCTCAGAACACGGGTCCTTCCTGTCCCACTTGGAAAGTGGACGGGGGTGTATCTGGGAGGTGGCCCTGTGTTGTCCTCAATGAAGACCACAGTCCTCTGTCACTCTTAGCCTGTGTGCAGCTCAGGCGGCCAGAAACTAGGAAAGGGATGGCCATCGAGGGGCCAGGCTGGGCTTCTACCAGAATGTGGGCCCTGGAGCTTGCCTCAAAGCCTTCCGAGGAAGCAAGTGTCATGTCTGGATGTCCTGTGTTCTGCTTGCGACCGTGAGGCTGTGGGGAGGCCCAAGGGACCAACCCCGCCCACCTGTTGGCTGAAGGACTGAAGCTGTGTCCACCACGACTGGCTTTGAACTCTGTGACTACACATCTGTCTCCACCCGCAGCCGCTCCATCCTGCGCACGTTGCCTTCCACCGCCACGCGGCTGGTGATGCAGCGAGCGAAGCTCTCAGGAAACCAGCCCGTCTCTCCGTCCCGCAGCCTCTCACCATGTAGCCAGCCTGGATGCAGATGGGGAGATGAGAGGGATCCCTCCACCCACCTCTGCTCTTGAGGGTTCTATTCTAGGGCCTGGCCACTCCTCCTGCATCGAGAGAGATCCATGGAGGGGTCACTCAAGGCCACCTGGGCTCTCAGCCGCTCCATCAGCAGCGGGGGTAGGGACCACACCCACTACTCCAGCATGACCTGGGCCCTGCAGAGACCTACACAGGGACCACCAGGAGAGCAGACACCCATTTGCTTCACTTAGGGCTCAGAGTAATGAGCTCACTTTGGTCCCATGACTCCAGTACTGGTGGTCCTCCCTTTGGGGAGCCTGAGTGTGGTGTGTTTACACATGTGTGTATAGATCCACATACATGTACACCCATGTGCATAGAGGTCCACAGACAACCTTGGTTCCTTGGGTGCTGCCCACTCTGCCTCTCGAGATAGTCTCTCACGGGCATGGAGCATGTCAATTGGGCTAGGCTGGCCCATGAGCCCTTGAGACGTGCGTGTCTTTGCTTCCCTGGGGTGACACAAGCCATGTGCTGCCATGCCCAGCTTTCTTTTATGCGGGCTCTTGGGTTCAAAATCAGGTCCCTATGCCAACTGAGCCATCTCTCCAGTGCCAACCTTTGAGGAAGTGCTTACGAGGATGAGGCAGGCTGAGTGAGCATGGCTGGTCACTGCACCCTTATCTGGGCTGCACCCCAATCTGGTTGACATCCACTCAGGTGTGGCCCGTCCACACTCACCGTCCTCTTCCTGCAGGACCAGGACAACGTCAGCCTGCTGCAGCGTGATCTCATCAGCTTGCTTGGCAAAGTATGCTTTGGTGATCTCCACCTGGGGCAGCTCTGGGGGAAGAGAGTTAGGAGAGAGTTAGGCCAGGAGTGCTCCCCCACAGACTATTCTGTTCCTTTGGCCTCAGTTTCCCCAGATGCAGGACACCAGGCCTCTTAAGAAGCACCAATAAGGTTAAGCTGTGGCTACAAGTACATAGTTACACATACAATAGGGGCCGAGGTCCAGCCCCTAAGCTGGGTACCCCAGGGATACCTAGACAGACCAGCTCTACTCCAGGGCTGCAATAATCCCGCTCACCCCAACCCCACGCTCACCTCCTTTGTTGGTGACGCCCTGCCACTGCCTCTCCTTGTAGGTGAGGGCTGTGATCCACCGGGCCCGGTCATTCCTGGAAGCCACAGAGAGCATAGCTGAGACCCTCCTTCCTTCTTGGGGTCCATGAGCCCCTGTTCATGGATTCTGCTATTGCTCAGGGCCCTTGCACGGCTGTGCAGAAGTGCTGGCTGAGCCCTCCTTCCTGTGTTTGCTGCCTCAGTCCCTCCCTCCCTCGGGGATTTGACCTAAGCACCACCTTGACAATAATGAAGGCCCATCAGTCGCATCAGTCCTTTTTTCCCCTTGAAGCTCCCTCCCTGGTTACTGGACAGTACAGCAATTCACCAGTTGATGTATTCCCACAAGGAAAACACATACCCAGAGCCAGGCTGTGTATTGCTTATGGCTCTATGGGCACTGACGGTGCTCAGCATGTAGTAGGCGCACAGAACAGGGTAGCACACCCCACCCTCCCAGGCTCCCATCACATGTGCTCCCCCCTCGCTGGGGTCCACCATCTTACGCGGAGTCAGAGGACAGCAGGATCTGCTCCTGGCGGCCCTCGCTGTTACGCAGCAGGTTCACCTGGAAGGGGTGGGGCACGGAGGAACTGCGGCTGCTGCCTGCTGGCAGTGAGGGCTCCGAGGCCTCCAGCTTCCTGACTTGCACATGCTCGAGCTGTGCATAGTCTTGGACCAGGTAGCTCTCCTCACTGTGGGGACACAGGAGAGCCGTCAGGGCCAGTTAACCTCAGGGTGCTCCTGAGACTTGTCTCTCGGGCCCGGGGACAACGTCCATGGCCAGGGAGGGAAACCCAGGCCTGCAGAAAGCAGAGACCTGATTCTGTATAGAGCTGTGTGGCCGCCCTCTAGCCTGACATCTGCAGCTGAGTGCCTACCTTTTCTTCTTGGTGACAACCAGGACATCGTTGAACAGGAACAAGTAGCAGGTGGGCCGGCTGGCGATTTTCCGAAAGATACTGGATTCCTCCAAGTGGAAGAGTTCTCCACGCTTGAGCAGCCAGCGAGAGGCGGAGATGAGTGGCAGGGACTGGGGATAGAGTGGACAGATGGAGGAAATGACCGGCAAGGTGGGGATGATGACAGGGAGAACCAATGGGGTAGTCCTGAACCATTCAGTTGGCCCACAGGAACCAGAGAAGGCCCTGTTGCCTTGAGGAGAGCCTTGAGGAGCCCTGATGCGCCAGCTCTTACCAAATGTTCTGCCTAAGCTGGGGGTGGCGGCCAGTCCTGGAGAGACCCTGGCACCTCCTTGCTACTGAGTCAGGGAAGTTCACCCATGGGATCCCCCGCCCACCCTCCCCAGGCAGATGTCCCCAGGAGCCTTGACTCCTATGATGAGGAGGGAGTAAGGGGGTGAGGGGTTGGCAAAGGCACCTACCTTGACCTTACCAAAATCCAGCTGCGTGTGCAGTGTGTACATCTGCTCCGTGCGCTCCATTTTGTGGGCCCCCTCATTGCACTGCTTCACCAGCTGCGGGGGTGAGTTTACACGTATACCATGGGCAAGGATGTGCCCTGGACCTAGTCCCTTTCCCCGATGGATAAGCTAGGGGCAGAAGTGGCCTCACCTTGCTGATGGCCTTCAGGGCTCGGCTGGCGGCTTTGTACCTCTCAGGGTGGCTCTGTGTCTTCAGGCAGAGTGTCTGGGGGGAAGACGGAAGCCGGAAGCCGTGAGGCAGTGGCTCCCCACCAGTTCTGGACTCGAAGTCAGGGAGGGGCCTCAGGCAAGCAAGAACCCAGCAGGACATCTACAGTCCACAAAGGGTCTCTGCACCTCTGGGGCTGGGATCCTGCCCTTTTACATCCTCGGGAATAGCGGTATTTCCGCAGTTCCAGGGCTGAGTGCGTATGGGCACTTGCCTAAAGATGTGTCTACAGGCTATGGTATCCTATTACTGACCGCAAAGTGATCAAGATTAATCACCCTGCCTTATACGCATTGTAATTATCCAATTACAGATGCATGAGTGTGAGGAAGAGGTCAGAGAGGCAACACTAAAGGCAGGGCCTCCTGGTGTGTTTCCATAGCCGCGCCCAAGCATCCCGGATACTCACATCTGTCAGGAGCGGCAGCCGGGTCACCCTCTGCATGGGGAGAATCAGGAAGGAGATCATGGGCAGGCCCCCGCATGCGGGCCGTTTCTCAATCTCCCTAAGCGCTTCTCGGAAGGCTGCATTGCTGCTCCTGCAACAGGGAAACTCCGTCACCTGACCTCAGAAAGAGGTGGCGCAGGTGGGGCCTGCACGAGGTGGGCTGGGAGGGAGCACAAGGGCCCCACTCACGACAGCTTCTGCAGGGTGCGCTGCTGGTAGACCTCGTTGGAGCAGTAGGCGATGTAAGGGTGGAAGTGGTTCTCGGCATGGTCCTCCAGGATGTCGCTGATGTCCTCCACACACACCTGGGCCTTGTGCCGCTGCTCCAGAGCTTCGAAGAACCTGCAGCATTGGGGTGGGGAGCGGTCGGGGACATGAAGGCACGTGTATGCAGACAAAAATGTCCACCAGATGGGTCTTGAAGGCAGAACGTGGCAGGTGCCCAGTGAGTCAGGTGAAACCCTATGTAAGCTAGGCCACATCTGCCCAAAGCCATCAGGGGACCTGCACTGCCTCTGTAATATCCAGCCCTGTGCCTGTCCCCGGGTGTGAGTTCAAGGACAGAGATGCAACGACCCTATGAAGGGTCCTATTATTGGGGCCCTAGGAGACCCAGGGAAAGTCACGTCTTTCTAGGGATGGGTCTTGAAACCAAGCTCCTGGCAAGGTTTCACAACTATCCGCTTTCATGGAGTCCAACTCATAAGAGACAAGTAAGGAGGCCTGGGCTCTTCGCAGAGGCCCTGGGGAGACTGCCAGCCTCTGACTGCCAGGCAGGATGATGGCATCAGATTTTGGCCACCTGGTATGTGAGACTTGTGGTTGTTCCTGAGCTATGTCCATGTCTGTAGTCTCTAGGCCCTGGCTTAGGGAGCTGGGAAAAGGGTCCATCTAAGAAGACCCCTTCAGGCTTGGATGTGAGCGTTAGGGCTTAACAAAGCCATGGACCTCAGTTCCTATAAACAAGTATACTCCAGGAGTGATTGGCCCTTGGGAAAAGCTGTGTAGCTAGCAGAGAGGCTCAGAAGTGCATGGGGACCCCATGGATGAACGGAAGCTGAGGATGCCTTGCCTGGACACGCCCACCATGCATGAGTCCTAGGGTTTCCTGGAAAGGTCTGGAAGGGTCAGCCTCCTGCTACTGGCCCAAAATAGCACAATTCTCGGAGGAGATCGCTATGAATGGCTAGGGAGGAGACTAGAGTGTCCCACACCAGGGCAGCAATGGCCAAGCAGAGCAATTAGAGGCTGCACAGCATCAAGGGACCACACTGGGGCGGAGTCTGCAGGAGGGTTACCCACTTCCCTGGACCCCTCTCCTCCTCTGATGAGTCAGGAGCGGATAGTTCCCACAGATAGCCTAGCCACTGGATCTCTTATGGGAAGCCCATCTCCAGGGATATAACAGCACTCTGTTCCTTGTCTAAATGGCTCTGAAGCCTCCAGAAGGAGAAAGGACACCCACAACAGCGTGGTCTTGCTGAGTGGTCAGCAAGGGCCAGCATCCTCTGTCTGGAGGGCTCGGCCTGTGAGCTAGCACCCCATGACCTATTCATCTTTCTGACACCACTGGGGCTGATGAGAGGGTCTCATCAAACACTGGAGCCAAGACTAAAGAGTCAGGGAGACCTGGGGTCTCCTGGACTATCGCAGCAGCAAGGGCTGGCCCCACACACTGCATGACCAGTCTGTGCTAAAGACATGAACCCATATACAGGTATGAGCGAACAATACAGGCAGGCACTATGCCCAGTGCTGGGGTGAGATACCCACCAGTATGCAAGGATAATACAGGCATGCACATACATAAAGCACACACACACACACACACACACACACACACACACACACACACACACGCCCTCACCAGCCTGTGGCTGCATGCCTGGCCTCTTCTCTGATTCTAGGCCTGCAACTAGAGCCAGGTCAGGCCACCAGACACTGCTGGGTAGAACATGACCTGGGGCCGAAACTCGAGGCTGCCACCTGACTGGGTAAATACTCTGTGGGCACTGCTGACTATGCCCAGTGCTGAGGTGAGATACCCATTGGCACCTGAGAGAAGTGCCTCCCCCTCCCCTGGGAGTCTAGGATGCCCTGCTGTCCCCACAGCCAGCTCTCAAGGGCTCTTAGAGGTTGTCATGCTCCATCTCAAGCCAGTGGCTGCTCCAAGTGTCCCATCCACAGGTACAGCCCAGGGCCCTGCTGACATCACTGCAGCAAGGCAAGGCAGCATTCTTGGGGACCCAGGGCCGCTCACTTCTGACTGGCGGCCAGCACGTCCACGATGTTGGAGAAGAGGTGGTGGTGTTCTGTCTGTGTCATGGTGGCCCTCAGCTCCCGGGACTGCAGGAACTCGGCCACCAGGATGCTCAGGCTGTGCAGATAGGAGAACTCAGATGTGAGGATCTCGAAGATGGCCTGCATGAGAAGACGATGCTCAGAATGACGGAGGAAGGGAAGGAGGGAGGACGGGGGCGTAGGGCCCCTTCGGAGGGCTGTCATGACTGCCGCACAGGCCACAAGTCTGTATCTCTATGCTCCGGTTCACAACTCAGGCTGTGATCGGGATTCTGCTTTCTGGGGAAGGTGGTACCAGGTGGGGATCAAACACGGGCTGATGCCTGCTACGCAAAGGCTGTACCACTGAGCCATGCCCCTCACCCCGGGCCAGGACTCTGGTTCTTCCTGAGGAGGCAAAGGTAGACCCCCTTCCTGATGCTCCCTCAGGACTCATAAGACAATCAAGGGGCTCGGTCATCAGCCCCCAGGTATCTGGCCCATGAGGTGGCTATTAGAGTAGGCGAGGAGAGGGTATCCTGTGTCTCTAACTCCCAAGGTACTGTGTGTCCCACACCATGTCTAGGGACTCCCAGTGGCCTTACCTCCTGCCTCTTACGTTCTTCTACTGACAGTGTGTCCAGGACACCTGACTCCAACACCTGAGAAGAGCAAAGGAGCTATGGCCACAGGTCCTGCTGATGGAACCAGGTCCCCCACTTGTATCCTCCTCTGGGCCACACCCAGCTGGAGGGTGGAGCCACCTCCATCTGGAACCTTCAGCTGTCTATGTCTCCCCAGAAACCTCCCAGGACAGTGCCTCTCCATCTCTAGAGCCCTGGACCAGGCCAGGAAGACGGACAGGGAGTCTAGAGGAACAGAGTGTGTGTGTGTTGTGTGTGGGTGTGGGTGTGGGGTGATGACTCAGACACCACCTGGGCAGCTGAGTCAGAGTCCTGCCAGGGAAGGCTCGGGCCATTATCACCTGTACTCTTCCCTTTCTTGAGGCTAGTGGCCCTAGGCTGTCTCAGCGTTGCTTCCCCTTATACCTATGGCTATAGAGCATGTCAGGGCAGGCTGGACCGCCTTATGCCTTGCCTCTGCAGGACACAGAACTGCCTCCATTTGTGTTCTCCTACTCATAGCCTGGGCAGAGGCACTGCCAACATTGCATGGGTCCCCTGCAACTTTCCAAGCGTAGGTAGTCCAGGTTCTAAATATCAGACAATGTTATGGGGTGTAGCGTGTTGGGTGCCGTCCCCAGCTTCTAGCATACATCTGGGTAATTAAAGTGTCCTTCTGAACATTTCTACTTGTGGAGCACAGACTCTGCCTGCTGCAGCCCTTGGCTAGACCTTCCCTGGCGAGGCTCCCACTGTCGGCACTCTCTTGGGGGGTGGTCCCTCACCCCCACAGCAGGCAAACAAGAAGCTCCATTGTACTGAAGTGAAGGGAAGGCTGAGTCCACCATCCCCATTTCCTGCCACACCCAGAGCCTGCAGAGGATAGGGGTCACCATCCTGGTCCTCACGGCCTGGACATGGCCCCGTTTTCCGATGTGGGAAGTACAGGGGGAGTGGAGAGGCTCCCCTAGTGAGATGAGGGTCCTAGGAAGGGGGGCTCCTTGTGTCCACAGTGCCCCTTCAGATTAGACCGAGCAGGACCTCCAACTACATGCCAGGACAGAGGACAGACTCATTGTTCCACACGCAAACTATATACCAGTGAAGCTATGTTTGAGCTCCTTGTAAGGGCCGGGCTACCACAAGCTAGGGAAGGGAAGGCCACGGGGCCTCCTTACCTCTGGGAGCTGGCTCCAGGTGAGCTGGGCAGGCCGATAGCTCTTGACCACAATGGTAGTGTCTGCTTTCTGAGCTCCCTCCGGGCTGGAGGGCTCATCGAGTATGTCATCATCAGACTCATGACTGGTATTTAGACCCCGCTCTCGGATCTCCTGGTACAGCTGAGGGTCTGGGGAAAGCAGAATCGCTGGTCTGCATGAGGGCTTAGGGGTAGCCTGACCCTCCCAAGGGCCCCACAAAGCTCTCAAAAACATGCAGGCTCCCCTATGATCCACTGTGTCCTACAGTGGAGTAACAAAACAGTCCAGGAGATGGTAGCAGCCCAGTGTAGAATGTGGCACTCCAGGTCGGGGCCAAGCAGACCAACCAGAGCTGCATAAAGGCCAGTCATGCCTGGTCTGGGAGTGGGAGACTGGGGTGCTCAGGTGAGGTCTGAGTATGCCGGTCGCTGCCCATGAGCCCAGTCTGGCATAGGCCAACTCAATTTAGGGCATCTCTGAGCTCATGCAGCTGCTGCGTCAGCCTGCACCGGAGCCTGGGAACTGCTGCTGCTCCGCACAGGGAGCGTTTCCCAGAGACTCGGCAGAGAGACTCAGACCCTTGTGTTCTGACCTGTGGACACCCAGAGAGCTGGCACAGGTCGGGGGAGGGAGATTCTTACGGGAGTTACCATGCCTCAGTGGGACCAGGAAGACAGAGCAACTGGTTATTCCTTTCTCATGAGCTGCAGTGCCCAGTAGGCTCTCTTCGGACCAGGAAGAGTCCATGCAGAGAAAAGAGAGAGTGCCTACCTCTCTGGAGGCCTGATGCCCTATCAGCCACCCTGGGTCCCATGAATACCCATGTGAGACTGGTCTGTCCCGTCTTTGGGTCACATAGATGGGAGTCCAAGGGAACTCTATGAGATGTACACTCACACCAACAGCTGGGGTCAGTGTCCAGTGAATGTCCTGCCCAGCCTGACCTCATCTTCTCGGACCCAGCAGTCCCCAGTTGACCCTACCGAGACTCCTTCCTGGCCATGCCATGCCCTCAGCCTCCCGGGAGCCACTCACCATCTTTGAAGGAGCCCTTGTGTGCGCGTTTCCGTCCCATAGTTTTCTGTGGACAAGACAGAAACCTCGCCAGTCAGTGGGGAGGGAAGCGTGGGTCAGCTGCCCTTCCAGTACTATGGCAGCCCAGAGATCCCCCCCCCCCACAGCAAGCTATGGAAGAGATGGGAGGAGGCTTTGTTGACATGTAGAAGGCACACATTGAATGTTAGCTTCACAAAGTAGAGGCCAGAAAAGGTAAAAGTTGGGGTTCAGGGCAGAGGGCTGCTACAGACCCAGGAAGGCTGCCTAGAGGCTAAGCCAGTTAAGAGGCGTGACCTGATAGGAATGAAGAGGGGGCCTGGTCTGGAGTGGGCAGAAGGCTGCTGGGGAGATTCTGGCCCTGGTACTGGTTCAGGGCTCTGGGGAATCCCCACTCTACCCTGGCATCCCCACACAGTCCCCACTCCTTGGCTGGAACTCCAGGTTTTTTACAGGTATACCGATTCCAGGAAAGCAGAGGCCAGTTGCTTCTGGTTCCTTAGAACCAGTTGGGGCCTGAAAACTCCCCTTACAGGTCGGAGGGGAAAGTGTGACACTCCCAGCTGAACCTAGGCTAGCTCCTTTTCTCACCCACCCCCACCTCCCACACTTCCTCCATTCCAAATCCTTCCTCAGTCTCTACTGTATCCCTTCTGGCCCTGAGACCCAGCTCCTGGGAGACCATGGGGAGCCCTCTCACCTAGGAAGTTCCTGGAGGACCACGGGGAGCCCTCTCACTCAGGAGGCTCCTGGGGGACCACGGGAACCCTCTCACCTAGAAGGCTCCTAGGGCCTCCTGCACCGTCATTTGCTAGCCCTCGACACCCGCACAGTCCCCTCCCTGCACAGGAGCTCTCAGGAGCAGCCACAGCTTATCACCCCAGCGTGTGACATGCTACAGGTCTCAGGGATGTGTGCTGAGGAGGGAACTCACTACTGTGGAGGAATGAATGAGGCCTTGGCAGACCTGTCTTAGGGGCAGTGGTGGTACTGATCCAGCTCCTGAGGTACAGGGATGCCTATCAAGGGCCCAGACATCTCAGACAGATGTAGCAGGGGAACCGTAATGAAGGACAGTAGCTGGCACTTTAGACATAGAGGCCTTGCCTTAGCCACGATCGGCCTTCATGGAAGCTTGTGGTCTGGCCAAGCCATTGTGTGCTGCTGGTGGCTGTCATTCTGACGCGTGCCTGCTTCTCCCAAAGCCAAGCTGTGGTTCAGGGTCTAGGGAGCTGATGTCCAAGTGAGCATGCTTTTCCCATGATGCTGTGAACAGCTCTAGGCTACAAAGGACCTGAACTCAGTTTTGGAGTAGGCCTACAGCTAGATGGCGGCCATCTTCACTTAGAGATGGGGACACTGAGCCTCAGTTTCGGGAATCTGTTAGGGGTCACACAGCCACAAAGGCCCATCCCAGGCCTCCATGGAAGCTGACTGAGCACTGTGCCTGGACACCCCAAGTCTGAGGGAAGCACCTGGCAAAGGTCCAGAAGTACCCCCAGCCCCGTATCCTGGGAAGAAACTGCCTTGAATGGCTGTGAAAGAGAGATTCCCCCATCTGACCCCGACAACATAAGGAGCAAGCAGATGGGACGTGGAAAGCCGCTCCTTGACCGTGGCCTTCCTGCTCAGTGGCTGTCTGTAACAGACTCCTGGAGACTGCAGGGGCTAGGACCTCCTTCTGTTCTTCTGAACAGACTGGGCTGTCTAGAGCTCAGGGAAGAGCCCTCTCCCCACCCAGGGCAGGAGCATGGGTGGGCGCTGAAGGCTAGCTACACTTTGTCCCTCCTTGTCTCACTGGCAGCCCGTGCCCAGCATCACTAAAACGGTCATCAGATGGGCTGCTGTCCACTCTGCAGGGAAGTGGGGGACATGGAAGAGTCCCCAAAACATGACTTAACCGTCTCTAGCCAGAACATGAGATTTGAACAGATCCCACTAAAGTGGGATGACCAGGAGCCTGCGCCCAGCAGCTGCCATGCATGATGCAGACATAGGAGACCCAGGGCCAGACCACCGCCTTGCCTGTGAACTCCCGAGACCCTAGAGATGACACTGCCTATCCCTGATGTCAGGGCAGACCCCTACCTTATTTTTGGCTGGGAACCGAGCGGGAGGCTGAGCAGCCTCCTCAGCGAGGGCCTGGAGCTTGGGGCTGAGCTGGACTGAGTCCCCCTTGCTGCTGGGTGACCCAAGGCCCCTCATGGCGGCTCTGTAGGACTGGTTCCTTATGTTTCGCTTCAGATTCACACCAGGGCCCGTGTCCATATCCATATCATCCAAGGAGAAGCTGGGGGCAGAGCGGAGCTGAGGATCCCGCCGAGCGGCCTCCTTGCTGAGCACAGCCGCCCCAAAGCTCTGGTGGCGGGCTGGGGACTTGGTTTTGGCCTTGCTGGCCACGGCCAAACCCTTAGGGATAAGCTGCTGGGTGCCCATCTTGAGTGCGGCCGGGCTCTGAGTGCTGAGGATGATGGGCCGTGGCTCCTCCTCTTCTGGGGGCACCTGCAGGGGTCCCGAGGCCTCTGGCTCAAAGGCAGCATTGGTCTTGGCTCCCAAGGAGCTACGGACCATGGGGAGCACCGGCATAGGGTTCCCATTGGCGTCGAGTTGCAGTTCCACATGGAAACGATATTCCGGGTGTTTATCGTCTAGAGAGCTGTCAGAATGTCTCTGGGACATGCTGGGTAGCAGAGGGGACCTAGAGAGAGAGACAGCAAGAGGTGAGAGGTTCAGAGGGGTGTCCCGCATACAGCCTCCCCAGTGTTCAATTGTTTCTTCTCAGCATCCTCCCCTAACAGCTCCCAGGTAAGGTCAGGGAGAACAGGGCTGGCTGTGACTGCTCACCAGGAGCGTCCCTAGGTGTGCAGGGAAGCTGGGGTCTGGGCTTATCTGAGACTCTGTGCCTCAGACACACAGCTATTCTCTGGTGGGGACAGCCTGTGGCTGGACTGGACCTCAGAGACCACCCTGCTTTCTCTGACATAACTACTAGGTCCTGCACAGGGTGCAAACAAGGGCATGTCTGCGGCTGGGCCCAGAGGCCGCACAGACCAGGACCAGAATCCTGGCTAGCTGATGCCTGGGCACCTTGTGGGTTACAGTCACAGTTCCCTGAGCCTGAGGCAGACGCTGTGGATGTGATTGTGGCCCTGCCTGGCTCTGCATTCTTGTTAAGGGGATGGGCTATCCCGAGGCCCAGGGACCTGCTGGGGACATGGGGACATGCCTCGGGTGTCTGACCCTGACTATATGATAAGGAGCAAGCAGGGTGGTGCGTGGAAAGAGAGGTCACTACCTGTCCATGGCCTTCCTGTCCAAGCCAGGATCTAGGTAAAGCCTGGCTGTGTCCCCTTCTCCTGGCTAAGCCCATGTCCCACAGCACCAAGGCTGGCTCCAAAACCTCTCCTCATAATACTTGACAATACACATTTGTCCTTTCCATGTTTCTGAAGCTGGGGTCTGTAGTGGTTTATTATTTGTATTTTGATAAATAAAGCTTCCCTAAAGACCAGAGGCAAAGCTAAAGCCACTAGAAACCAGGCAATGGTGACACACACCTTTAATCCCAGGATTTGGGAGACAGTCAGATGGATCTCTGTGAGTTCAATACCACCCTGGACTACACAAGATCAATACAGAAATAAATCCAGGTGGTGGTGGCCTCCACCTTTAATCCCAGCACTAGGGGTCATACGCTCTTAAACCCAGGGAATAGGAGGAAATGAGGGCTGGAGAGATGGCTCAGAGGTTAAGGGCACTGACTGCTCTTCCAGAGGTCATGGGTTCAATTCCCAGCAACCACATGGTGGCTCACAGCCACCTGTAATGAGATCTGGTGCCCTCTTCTGGCCAGCAAGCATACAGACAGACAGAACACTGTATACATAATAACTAAATAAATCTTTAAAAAAGAAAAAGAAAAAAGAAAATGAGGAGAGAGAGGCGTAGTCTGCTTAGTTAGTGATAGTCCAGTCTTTGTAGAGGTAAGACTTCTCTAGTGGCTTGGCAGCCTTGCTTTTCTGGTTTTCATGTTGAACCCCAATTTCTGTCTCTGGGTTTTTATTATTCGTGCTATTGGGGTTCACAATCCCATTCTTGGGGGTCCTAGTGCAAATGGAACGGCAGCAGGAAGCTTCAGTCTGAGCCACTATTCAGGGGTTCACTGCCCAGCACAGGACAGGAACTGACGGCCATCTCCAATATGCTACCCCTCGGTCACCTCACCTGTCCATCCCAGCAGCACATGTGCCCCAAGCCCCTTTTCAACTTCGTCTTTCTCAGAATTGACTTGCCCCCAACCCGCTGCCCTGCCCCACCCGCAGTAGGAAGCCCTGAGCAGTGGTCTCCGGAGTGACCTATTTATTTCTGCTCCCTTGGGTGCAGCAAGGTCTTAAGGCTGACCCTGGCTAACAGGGGAGATGTGACTGGAAGGGACAGGTGTCCCTCCTGGGCAGGGGAATCCCACTAACCTGTCACCCAAAGACTGAGGTGAGCAGAGCTACGATTTGACCCGGACACAGCAGAAGCCAGAGTAAAGGCTTGCCTGTGTGGGAACCAGTCATCCACACTGGCAACCTGCTGAGGGTCAACTGTCCTTAGTATTGCCACTTACCTCCGTGATTGGAGGTCCTCAACCTCGTCAGGATGCCCTGCTGGGGGCCTCAATGATGACAGGTGCCACCTCTTGGTTTCGATTTTCAAATCTGCAAAATGGGTTCAGTAAGAACAAAGGCATCGCCTGAGGATTTCCTAACAGGAGCTTAAATGACCTGCAAAGCCCATTAAGACCACACAGCACCAGCCAAGGCTTTTCTGAACCAAATACCACACCGCACTAGTAACGAGAGAAACCAGCACTCAGACCTTGTAGGACCCTAATGTAAAGTGGGGGACACTCCCTTCGTAAATATTTTCCCTTTTAAATTTTCTATAAACAAGGGGCCAACATCAAGGAAGCCTTTTACAAGCTCAGAACTTTATATACATGAAAATGACACAAACCGGCTGGGAGCGGTGGTGCAGGCCTTTAATCCCAGCACTCAGGGGGCAGAGGCAGGCAGATCTGAAATCCTGCCTTGAAAAACCAAAAAAAAGGGGGGGGTGGGAGAGGAGAAAAGACATGAGCCTAAGAGGGCTGTGCAGGCACACCCACCCTGTAACCTCAGCACCAGGGAGGCTGGGACAGGAGGCTCTGGAGTTCTAGGTCAGCCTGGGCTATCTATCTATCAGTGAGACTATCTCAATGAAAACAAAAACCAAACCAAACAATCCCAACTTATTAGAAAGACCTTCCAAAGGGGAAGTTTGTTTTCCAGACAGTTTGAGGAACTCCATGTCTATCGCCCACCCACATCAGGCGTGAGGCTCGGGGCTCAGCATTGGGCCACAGAGCCCCCATGTCATGTGTCCTGGGCACTGTCCCAGGATTACATATCTCAGGGTGTGTCCGGTCTGACAGAGACAGAGGGACTGAACGGGACTGGAAAGGACGGCTACCCTGGGGTTACCAGAGGTGGGGGTGGGCACCAAGGCTGTTCGGATGAGTTCAGGGCCTCAGGAACTGGTGACTCTAGGAAGCCTCTAGGAAGGTCAGCCCACTGCCTGAGTTCCAGGCAGGCCACAGACCTATCCTACCATGTATTTCAGAGCACAGAATGGTGCCAAGACCCTGCCCAGCTGTCCCTCCCTGAAGGGGACAGAACTGGTCATACCGCTGACGTTAATCCACACTGCTAAAGCGCAAGGCACCCAAGAAGCTGGTCGCATCCCAGCTCACCCCCTGAAGCCCCAGGCTCTTTCACACAGAAGCCCTTGGCTAAAACTATCCCAAGAAGCTGAGTGCAGTGGAGCCTCAGAAGCCCCAGGGAGGGGCGGGCTGGGGCCTGGTGTACCAAGAGCAAGGGAGGGCGCATTCCTAAGGACATTCCAACTTGTGGCTGAGGATGATAGCAGTCACACCAGGCCTCCCCCGGGAGCTGGCATCTGTCTGTCACATATGTAGTGGGGGCAGGGCTGCACCAACCAAGGCCCCACACCTATGTTAACTTGCCTGGTTCACCAAGGTCTGGGGAAGTTGGCTTAGTGTCTCTGTCTTCCCATGGCCCAGGACAGACTACACAGTGATCATTTTTCTCAGAAAGAGCGGACCACACAGAAGGGCCCAGGGTCATTAGTTTTTCTCCTCTCCTACCAACAAACACCTGAGCTAGTGTCTCAGGCGTGCAGAACAGCACAGGCCCTGGCAGGCGGTGGCCTCTCCCAGCAGAGGACAAAGTCCATTCCAGGCCCAGAAGGTGCCCAAAGGGAATCTGTCAGGTGAGCCATTGCTGGGAGTGGCTTTCGTTCCCAGCCTGGCACCACACCCACAGGCTTGGCAAACAACCTGCCTAGGACCCCAGAGAGTAGGGTTGAGGGCTATGGGTACCTGTCCTGTCAGGTAGCACTGAGAGGCTTGCTGGACACATCAGATGTCTCCTGAAGCTGCCCCGTCCCCAGGCAAGATGGGGGAGGGAGAGTTGTACAGCCGTGCACAGCACAGCCACAGGGCTCCATGGGCAGGGGACCATGAGGCTGGCCTGCCTTTCATTATTTATTTCTACTCCCTCCAGTCAGCTCGCCTGTCGCCCCCTCCCCCAGCTGTACAGTTTTGCTTCTCCACGCTCCTTGAGTCTGGCTCTTCTGTGCAGGGATCATTTCCAGGTCTTCCTGGGCACCCTCCCAGCTCAGGGTGGGAGTTGGGTGGGTGGATGTCCTTAGGCTTGGCTCTGGCTAGCCTCAGGCCATCAGGACTACTCCCTAAAGCAAACCCCAGGCATCATCTCCAGAAGGAGTTGGGGGCAGATTTTTAATGTCTGTAGACATTTGTTTTTAATATTTAATTGTATTAGTGTAAAGTTTGTAGGCATGTATGTATGTGCAGCACACGTATGGTTGGTGCCTGCAGAGATCAGAAGAGGGGGTCAGATCCCCTGGAACTGGAACTAAAGATGGTTGTGAGCTACCATGTCAGTGCTGGGAACCAAACCCAGGTCCCCTAACAAGTGCTCTTAACCCCTGAGACATCTCTCCAGCCCCCGAGACATCTCTCCAGCCCCCGAGACATCTCTCCAGCCCCCGAGACATCTCTCCAGTCCCCGAGACATCTCTCCAGTCCCCGAGACATCTCTCCAG